ATTGTATATAATAATAATAATAATAATAATGTCTTTATTCCCACCAAAGAAAATACAAAACAAGTTGCAAAACCAGTCTTATAAGAACATATAGTGGGAGGGGCGAAGTTCGGCTTATCCGCTCTTCCACTTAACCCCTGGTTTTAGGTTTACATCATAATAAGGTAAGCATATATATAAAAATGAGATAAAGAGCATATACATATATACACATACATATACATACATATACATATATACACATATATACCCACATATACATACACACATGTATAAGCAGTATCAGAGAATGGACCCTAGCGGCTAATTTGTAAAATGGTACTATAAAAATACATAATGCCTCCAAAGTCATACCATGCAATTCCCTGCAATGTAGCAGCGTATACGTTTTTTAAACAAATCAATAGAAAGAGAAGTATACTCTCGCGGGATATTATTATAAAGTTTGCTGATATTATACGAAAAAGATCTTTCGAATAAGGTGGTAGAATGAAAAGGCGGTGTCAGTTTAGTTTTGTTGCGGGTATTTCGATTGTGAGCTAAGTAACGGAAATGAATTTTTTCGTGTAAGTAGGAAGGTAGTTTTTGTATAATAATCTTATGGTATTGTACGAGGCTGTGAAGCAGCCTGCGTTGCTTCATGTTCAGCCAGCCAGCATCAGTAAGCTTTGCTGACACTGAATCGAATTTACTCAAACCAAAAATAAGTCTCAGACAAGAATTTTGCACGCGTTGTATTTTATCTGAAGTGAATTTAGTTAGACATTTGTCATAGACGACATCACAGAAGTTAAAATGCGACAAAACAAGAGAATTGCACAGTATGACTTTAGTTTTTTGGTTGATGTAAGATTTTTGACCGTATATCGTCTTTAAATTAGAATACGCCCTTCTGGAGCACTTGTTAACATGTTCCTCAAACCTCAAGTTTTTGTCAAGGTATAAGCCTAAATTACGCGCTATCGAGCTTATTTCTAAAGTATTGTTATCGAGGTTTATTTTCACCAGAGGTTCACAATGGTTTCTCCAATTTTTTGGCCCGAATAACATGACTGTACTTTTAGCCGGATTCAAGTCTAAGCATATATTTCGAGAAGCTTTAGTGAGACGATCAAGGTCTTTATTTATCAGATCAACAGCAGGCAATGTTTGAGCTGGAGGAAATGATAAGTACACTTGTGTATCATCTGCATAAAAATGAGCTTTACAAGAGTGAAGACTGAAGTATAGATTAGAGGTGTAAATAATGAACATTAGCGGACCCAGAATGGAGCCCTGAGGAACACCAATGGTCACTTTCAATGGCGCAGAGTACTTATCATTCAGCATTACCTGCTGTTGTCGATCGCTGAAGTAGCTTCGCATTAGAGACTCTGCATCGGCCGAGAATCCGTAAAAGTGGAGCATGGCTAAGAGTAGGTCATGATGTATCCTGTCAAATGCCTTCGTATAATCTAAGAGCACCAAGGCAGTCAGGTTACCTTTGTCAGCACTGCACAATACATCATCCACCACTCCCAGCAATGCTGTTGTACAGCTATGCGCCGGACGGAACACTGATTGTGTATCTATAATGAGGTTATTCGTTCTTAAGTGTTCTCTTATCTGAACATCCATTATTGATTCAAGCAATTTAGATAATGTTGGCAATATACTAATATTACGCAAATCCTTGAGCTCAGATGGCTGAGCAACTTTAGGCAAAGGCACAATCAAAGCGTGCTTCCAACAAAAAGGAAAATAGCGACGCAATATGCATTCATTAATGATATGTGTCATGAAAGGAATAATTTTGGGGCAGCAATACAACAGCATTTCGGTATTTATCAAATCAGCACCAAATGCTTTGCTTTTGAAGCCAAACAAAGTATCTTTCACCTGATCTGTGGACGCCAAAGCGAATTCAAAGAGGGATACATTTGGTTTGACATTATTTTTATAAAAAGAAAATGTATCAGCATCAGGTTCTATACCTGCACTAGATAAAGACGTAAAGTACCGGTTCATTTTGTCAACATCAGCTAAATCAACTGGGATAGATGACCTGGGTGTCTTATTGCCAAAGTTCATAGCTTCTAAATCTTTCCATAGAGTCTTATAGTTCGTACTGTTAATTTTATGTTCCAAATGAATCTTTTTAGCATTATCAGTTGCTAATTTTACTATATTACGTAACTTTTTGTATTCCTCCCATTTCTGATCGCACCTTGATTTCCTATAGGCAGTGAATTTGTCATCTCTAAGTTTCATTAGAAATTTAATGTTATCAGTCAGCCACGGAGCTGGTTTTTTCGTAAACCTTGCCATTCGATAGGGTGCAAATCTGTCAAATAGCTCTAAAACTAATTGATTAAATATATTTAATTTCGTATCTATATCCTGACAATAAACTATCTGCATAAAGTCTACTTCATCCAGAGCAGTCTTAAAAGATTCTTGGTTGATATTTTTGAAATCTCTGTAGCTACGTAGTACAGGTTGTTTGGTTTCTACCTCATATTCAAGGACTATAGATATCAAACTGTGATCAGACAAATTTGGTACATTACATACATCACAAGTACTTGGAATATCATCAGAGCAAAAAAAGAGATCTAGCAACGTTTCGGAGGAGACTCCAAATCTGGTCGGCGTAGCTACTATTTGATGCAAACCAAAATTATTCAACGAATCATCAAATAACTTCACAGCATTACTGTTTTTATCGAGAAAATCAATATTAAAATCGCCAGTGCAAATCATTTTGTCGTATCTCGGATATAACAAACTAAGTGAATCTTGAAACTGATTGATAAAATCATAAACGTTACACTTAGGAGGCCGATAAACGACTCCAAAGCAAAAACTCGTCGCTTTAATTTTGAATGTAACCCACAATTGTTCAACTGAAGAGGTGATGTCAATAACGCTGCATCTAATTTTGTTTGTTATATAAATCAGAACACCGCCACCTCTGGAGTCAACTCGATCGTTCCTAAAAAGAGTAAATCCATCCAAAGATATGAGATCATTGTCTACATTTTGATTGAGCCAGGTCTCAGTTAATGCAATAATGTCCCAATCCTGGGAATTGACCACAGTGTTTTTGAAATCGACAAACTTGACTAAAAGCGATCTGATGTTTAATACTGCTATTTTAAGGTTTTTATTTTTATTCATATCAGTAGATAGATTAGCCATAGTCGACTCTTTCTTTTAGGTTTTGTACATAGTTTTGGTACATTGGACAACCTCTAAAATTTGTGGCATGGTCACATTGAATATTTTTTTTCTTTGTTCTGTTATAGTTCAGGCAGTTTATACATTTTGAAACATCAGACTTACAATCCTTTAACATATGACTTCCCGAGCATGTTGAACATATTATTTCCGTGGATTTGCATTCCTTTGCCGAATGACCGAATGAGTGGCACTTTATACACTTCACAATATGAAAGTGATCGCTTACAAGAGACTTCTTCCATCCTAAGAACACAAAGCCCTCTTGAAGTAAAACTTTCCGCACTGCCGGTGTAACTTCAATGACTATGTTGACACTGTTGAAGTGTTTCAGCTTCGTGACAAATTTTATGTCAGTCTGCTGAATGTTTGCGAAACTATTTAAGGAAATAATATTGTTTACTATGTCCTCAGGCGAATTTAAGCCCTCCAAATTTACATTTCTGACAAGCATGCGAGGATTCAGCTTCCTGGCTTGGGTAATGGAATATTTTGATCCAAGTTTGTTATTGAGACTGGTTTTGAGCGTGTTAAGTGATTTGTCATCTTTGCAGTGAACCGCTACACCATTTTTTATTCGTTTAGTGGAGTTGATGCAAACGTTCAGATTAGCTGGGTTAACAGATGACGTGATTTCTTGGAAAATATTCTTGCTATCAGCATTTTCCACTGCATCTGCCTTGATCAGCAACACAGATGAACTAGCGGTAGATGGTTTCTTTAAAATATCGCTAAATGTGCTTGGATTTGGTTGCAATGCAATTTTTGGTGTCACATAAACATTATTTTCGTAAGACTTCAATAAGGTTTTCTGTAGTTCACTGGAGTACTCCAGTTCCGACATCAATCGCTTTGTAAGCTCCATTTCCCTATTTAGACATTCAACTTCTTTTCGTAAGATACTAGTCTCAGTTTTAGATGAATCACATTTCTTATATAGGAAGCAACGGCAGTCATCACAGACCCAGAGCAGATTTTCACACTCTGATATTATTTTTATCCAGCTGTCTTTGACTGAGACACAAGAAGTGTGGAATTTAGATGCGCAAATACTACAGTTAATTGCTTTAGTACTTACTATAAAATTATTCTCGCATACCTTACACAGCTCGACATCGGGTGCCATGACGAAAACATACACCCAATTTCCCTGAGCTATTTATTAGTACAGCGTGGATGAGGTTTTTGCTTCGTGGAATTTTTGTCAGAGCAAAAAAAAAAAAATATAGATGGAGTGCAGACAAAAATAGACCTTAGTGTATAACTACTTATGTAGAAATTGCAATAGATCAAAGACAACAGACGATATTCACATACCTAACTCACACGAAAATGCAGACACTACGCACTTCCACGTATACTGAAGCATAAAATTATTTATTGTCTATGTCCTCTAGAAAAATTAACTACAACGTCCCGCTAGCCGGTCCGTTGTTCTCATGGTGTGAAATACCTATGATGCTATATATGTTATTTAGTTCTCATTTCCATATTCAAATTAGAGGCAGTATAGATTTTCATCTGCAAAATTGTAATAGTAGCATAACTAGCAAATCTGTTTCAAAAGAGAGTATTTGATTTTAATAAATTGAGTAGTGATATTAAACATTGTTCGAATTTGAAAATGTTTAAGGTGTAATTGAAAAATCACTATGAAGAGAGAGACAAGAATATGAAATGACAGAAAATTGATTTAAAATTGACGTAGCATTAATGCTAAGTAAATCTTCAACAAACGGATGGCTACATTTGCGGTATTAAAGACTGCGTTTTAATTTCAGAATGACATGGAAGCAGCAAGGGAGGCGTATGATGCTTTCCTTTCTCACTACCCCTACTGCTACGGTTATTGGCGCAAGTACGCTGATTACGAGAAACGCAAGGGCAACAAGAAGAAATGCGAAGAGGTATGTACCGCTTTATCCGCAGTTACTAAACCGCGGAATATAATATAAATGATATACTAATCAGATTACATATAGTAATTCTCGCCCATCCCCACAGCTTGGCGACGTTAGGCCACCATCAGCCGCGATCCAGTACAAGCGTTGTTATTCCTTAACATGTTCTTGTTGTAGTGTATACAATGATCTATTGTCTCATGTAACACTGTTATTGTATATGTTTTACTTTTAAGTTGAGTTATATTCATTAACTTTGATACAAATTGTGTGTACACATTATCTAAAAACGTCGTTAGCTGAAAAGAAATTGAAGCGAACGCACACTGTCACACTAACACGTTAGAGATGTGTTAGTTCAGGGGAGAGAGACAATGGTGAGACGACTCCGGACGTTGTGGTACATCTTTGTATCATCCTCCAATCACGTAATGTAAGGAAAATCAATATACATCGTGATATGATACAGTATTATCTCTAATATTATATATTTATCTAATAAAATAACCATACTTTACAGTTACAGGGATATTGATGGATGAGTATGGAACATCTAGCATACATGTAGATTATTACAAAGCTTAAATATTTATTATTTCATAACTTATTGAATTAACTTAAACTCTTTGATCATTCCAAGGTTCTCAAATACTGCTGCTGTTACGTGTATGACCTTTTCATCAGGAAATCTCAATAAACATACAGTTATACAGGATGTTCTCAAAGTTGGAACTCCACACAGTGCACTCCTTGCAAAAATATGTTAATTTTTGTGGTAAGATAACAGAGTTATTAGGTTTAGAACAAAAATGATATACGAAATCTGTAAACTAAGTCATGAGACTGATTTTTTAATTTTTTCATTCAAATATAATTACAATTTTATATTGTCACCCTCAAAATAAATTACTTCTGGAGACGCTACTTTCACTCTTCATAGCAGTGCTGAAACTCCAATACTGAAATAGCCTTCAGCTGGTCAGTTACAGCAGTTTGAATGTTATTGACTGTCCCAAATTGTTGTTCCCTTGAGGTGATTGTCCAACTTCGGGAAGAGAAAAAAGTCACAAGGACTCAAGTCAGGCGAATAAGGAGAATGAGGAGCTATAGGAATCTTTTTACTGGCCAAAATCTCGTTTATTGACAATGCTATATGACAAGGAGCATTATCGTGATGAAACACCCAGTTCTCGATCCGATGTTTAGTCTCTCAGGAATGACCCTTTTTCGAAATTTTTCAAGAACTCCCCGCTAAAAGTTGTGATTAACCGTTTGGCTTGAAGGTAGAAACACTTTGTGGACGATTCCGTGGATATCTGTCGATATTTTCATCGATTCTTGAAGATGAAGGCATTCCGCTTCGTGGTTCATCTTCAATCGACTCTCCCTTTTGAAAATGCCTTAATCACCGAAGAACCGGAGCTCTCGACAAAACTCTATATCTGTAGACCTGCTGAAGTTTACCAAGAGTTTCCGTTGCACTGTGACCAAGTCTGAAGCAAAACCTAATAACACAACTTAACTCATTTTTAGAACACAATAGAAATAAATGTTTCACAAACAAAAATTGCTACAGGTAACCAAATGACCCGAGCGAGTTCAAACTTGTGCTGAAGGCGTATCACGTTCCCCTGTCTGCCCTCCGAGCCCGGCGCCTGCAGTGTTGCCGAATCGAACGCTACTTTGTCAGTCTCATTACGTAATTTACAGTCCTCGAAGTGAATATAATACGGCCCTGCCTATAGCATGAAAAAAATATGACTTGTGTCAGTATCCAGTACCGTGCAGGTGCTGTTTATAAATTGTATATCAGAAAATGACACATTCCTGTATGATAATCGAACTTGGCGATTTGATATTAGTCTAAAAACTATTGTTTCTCAATATACTTCCTGAATATTTTTACGACGCGCCGCGAGGGTTTACTTAGCGCGTGCAAAGATCGTATGTATTAACGACGAGGTGAAGTAAATCTATACTCGTACAACCCCTAATGTTGCAAATTAAGGAAGAAGCTAACAAGCTTGTGTTTTGGAATAACGTCGAGCAAAATTTATAAGTAACATGTCACAAGGTGGTACTTGAAATTTCTGAGCAAATGACTAGTTAGTGCTTTTCTCCATTTTTTTTACGTTTTGCTGCTGTTCTACCGCGCACTCTTCAATCTTCTTCTGAAATAGGAATAAAGTCCCAACTTCCAGAAGACCCTGTTTACAAGTTTTTTTCTGATTCTTCCGTCGTTTAGCACGACTTCTCAAGAATTAATTTCCAATTATACACCGAGCAAAAGTTTTCAGGTGCGAGTTTTCCATCATTCGCGAGTTTTACATATGATGAAGCGATATTTACTGTCCTGTATGAATCTCACCTCTTCCACTATTGGTTTGAAAACAGTTATTTCAGTTTTAATATAAGGTGGTAAAGTATGCATAAACAATATTCTTGTTTTTAAAAGTTGAATAATAATATGATCTAGATGTTCTGTGCTTTCCCCTCGTGTTGCAGAAAAAATAAACGCATTTTTCAGTTGATGTGTATCCGTTATTTGAATAAAATTTTTGCTAATACACAAAAACTTATCAAAACCTAAAAATAATATGGTAAGCAACGGGTTAATCTTAGCATCTAATACTTGTGAATATATCAATATGTCATAGTAAAATACAATACACATCATCTGCTTATCGTAAAACACACCTCTCTATCTAATTTGCCCGCCCGGCCACTCTACGGCCTGGCTTCTGTTCTATCCGAAGGTGTTCGAGCGTGGCCTGAAAGCCATCCCTTTGAGTGTGGACCTGTGGCTGCACTACTTGGCCTACGTGAAACAAACCCGCGTGGATGATGAAGAATACGTCCGGTCGCAGTTCGAAAGGGCTTTAGCTGCATGCGGCCTTGAGTTTCGTTCTGACAGATTATGGGACCAATACGTCAAATGGGAGACGGAGGGAAAACGCCCACAGAAGGTCACCGCTATATATGATCGTCTGTTGGCCACGCCCACGCAAGGGTATACGTCTCATTTTGACAAGTGAGTTTTATATGGTTTGTAGTTTCGTGATGTGATATATGACATATTAATGCACATTTACTAAAGTCGGCCAATACAGGATATATTTTAATATAATGCAATTCTCCATTTTGCAGTCGATGTATGTATTGTGATTATTTTTTGAGAAATAAAGTTTATTCTGAATTTCCTACCAGTTATTCTCAACTTTTGGTGATGATATCCATGTTTCCTGAATATACTAAAATAGCTTTGTATTTTATCTTATTGTGTTATATGAGTTATGGAACAGTTAATTTCCATTTGTTTATATTACTGCAAGTTATACATTTTGAAGTCGCGCATCTCTGTGCTTTAATACACTGAATAATTGGCATTTGACGAATCTTTATACCTACACTTTATACATCCTTATCGTGCCATTCTTCTACTACACCGATAAGCGCTATTGGTAAGGGATCGTTCATGTTGTGTAGATGATTCACGAAACTTAGAAGACATTTATATTTCTTTTTAAGAACACTTTAAATGTTTGAATATATTTAGAATATTTTGAGGCACTATAACCGGTGAACTACTGTAGTTATTTGACTTTATCAAAATTTAACCTCGTACAAGATGACCAGTATACCTTTATAATGATATGGAGTAAATCGAACCTTTTTATCTTTATTTTCTATGGAAAGTCAGAAGTTATATCAGAAAAGTGATGTATAGGTACATATCCGCATTTGAAGCCGGACTTCACCTGCTCTATAAGTGCTTAGTTTTTTTGTATAAACATTTGTCAGAAATCTACAAAGTTCGTAGCGAGCGTTACCGTAAGACTTTGTAGCTCCTAGAATTTAACAACCAAATCAGCAATAAATGTGGTTCCAGCTAGATAGACCAACAGGCTACATAGCTAGAGATGCGATTAATGTTTTGCGAAGAATATTTAGTTAACGGCAGCAGACTCCCTTATATCGGAATTATCAAAAAATAAGGTTTATTTCAATTACTATAGAACATTCGAAGAGTAATATTTTTCCCGAAAAATCATGGAAAATGTGCTTAGGTGCGGTCATTTGCATCTTATTAGCTCTCTTAACTGCCTATAAAAGATTAAGATGAGAAAGTGGATCTATTTCATTTCATTATATTTTAGAGAAACATATCAGACAGTTATATTTTGGTTATCTCGAATTTCCAATTCGTTTATATAATTGAAATTCATGTTCTGTAGTGAAAGTCCCAACATAGAACTGTTTTGCTTGATATAAAAAAATTATAACCGTTTCGCATAACTTCTTAATAAAAATTGTACCCGATTTATTTCATATCGTGTTTAAAAATTAGTTTATGTAGAAAAGTACAAAACCAAGTTAAAGGGATTTTTCAATAATGCAATAATTTATACTTGCAGGTTAGTGACAAAAATTTTTGAAGTCCTTTGTCTAATATGGATTTTCCAATATTTTCGACGCCAATTTTGTATGCTACGAGAGTCATTTTTTAAGTAAGAACCGTTTTGTCATGAAGTCGGGAAAGCTTTATCTATGGATGTAAATTGTATCACAAACTAAAATATGTTTATTTTTCCATTTTTCAACATAGTTACAATACATGTTTGTCAAGTCGTGGCACCAGCTTTTAGATCCCGTCGTCAAAGAACGCTGCCGCCTGACCGTTAAACGAGTAATAACTGTTTCTTTCAACTTGTCATTATTTTTAAAGTGCTTTCCACCAAGAAAATCCTTAATTTTTAGAAAAAGATGAAAGTCTGATGGTGCTAAGCCAGAACGGTGGATGATCCAGTGATTCTCAATGAAACTCGTCCAGTTGTGTCTGTGTTCTTGCAGCCGTTAGAGGGCAGGCTGTTGTGAAAGGCAGAATAGCAACATTCAGCAGGAGGGACCTTTTTTGCTTTTCAGAATGGAATTACCGAACGCACTTCACAATCAGAATGGAATTACCGAACGTACTTCACAATCGTCGGGTTTGATGATTGACATGGCGACAAACAACGCAGTATAACCGCTCAAACAACACCGACAGAGACGTGAAACGTAATGGTTGCGTATTGAGAAGTATCTCCAGTAGGTCGAGAGTGTCTGAGGTTGAACGGACGTCTCGTAACAGGATGCGCGGGCATGATACACAATCGGTTCTTACTTTAAAAATGGCCTGGTATGTGGCAATGTTGACCAATGTTTCCAGCTGTTGAGTCAAATAGACAATTTTAGTATTGACATGACCTTTACATTTCCGTAGAGGATTTCAAAATTAAAAAGTATCACCCATAGAAATTTCTAGTCTATTTTGAATATCGGTGGTGACCACTTCAAACACTTGCGACCCACATTGTGGCCAAGATATGGTGTTGGGCAACGTTGCGGTGTATATTCAAAATACCTATACTAGTCATAGTAACAAACAAATGTCGAAAAAAAGCAACATTCTCCTATTGCAGTTTCCAAGAACACGTGTCGTCCAACCCGCCTAACAAAATAATCGAAGTGGATGAATTCCTAGCCTTGCGCAAAGAAGTCCGCCAGTTACTGAAGCAGGACTCGTCGGCTGCAGCTCCCGGTGTGACGACCGGCGATGAGAGCGCTGGTGCCCCAGCACCTGGTGATGATGTGGATGCACCTCCAGGAGAAGACAAAACGGCTCCCAGCTCGGACGAAGAGACTAAAGCCATCAAGGAGAGGATAGTGTCTATACGGAGGAAGATGCACAAGGCAACGGTTAACGCTGTTACGTCTAGGTGGAATTACGAGGAAGGGGTGAGTAGAAACAAAATGATGCTACTACTAGGTAATCAAGGGAATATTATTTTGTTTTTTATTGGTATGGTTTCGGTGTTACCCTTTTGCGTGGTCGGCCGCTTTGAAATTAATGCATTCAATTTGTTTGCGTTCTCTTCAAGCGACATGTCTTTCGAACTGCCTTATACCTTATCCTCAAAGTTGGGACCTTACATGGAGTAAAGATCTTGGGAAATGAGTAATTTTTTCTAGTAGCATATATAATATATATTAAAGTCTTAACATTACCGAGATGTTGGGCTCCACAAAATAAGTCGAACCTAAACCAAACCTAATCCGGTCCTGCACCTCGATCAGATCAAACGTTAACACGTACGATGCGTATCGGTATTAAATCAAGGGGCTGGCCGCATTAGTAAAAAAACCTTTACACATACAAAACAAAAATGGCACACTCATACGGCAATATGGGAGTTATCCATATTATTTTAATTTGCTGTGTCTTCGAAATGCTACCGAGGCCTCGCGAATGCGCAGATCATCGTTGTATAAAACTGAGACGAACTACGTGTGCGAATTTAGCAATCATTCGGGATAGCCAGTCCATTCTAAAAGCCTACACTGATGCTTGGCTACGTCGAGCACATACATGATACATGTGTCTTTGAATCCATCGCAGACAACTCTGAACAATACTTACAAGTGATGGAGTTGTACTTAGTCTAATGATGTTAGACGAAAATACCCCTGATTTGCGAAATAATTATAATATATATATAAAGAGAAAATAATCATGCGGAGAAATGTATATAACAAAAAAAATAGGAAAATAATGGGCAAAATCCGCGAAAAGGAGGAAAGTGGCTTCGAGCATAAAATAGGATAGGTAACCCGAGCGATACGTATTTCTGCTGGTTGGCTTCATCAGGCCCGAAATGAATGCACATATGCAACTACAATGTATGAGCATGTGTATCTACTTTTGTATTTGCATATGTGCATTCATTTCGGGCCTGATGAAGCCAACCAGCAGAAATACGTATCGCTCGGGTTACCTATCCTATTTTCTGCTCGAATCCACTTTCCTCCTTTTCGCGGATTTTGCCCATTATTTTCCTATTTTTTTATTATATATATATATATATATATATATAGGTGAAAAATTAAAGCTTCCGCCTTTTGTTGGGTACTTCGACAAAAATTTAAGCAAAGAGGACTCTTTATACTTTTTTATTCTCTCTAGCTTTCAATGGACTTTGCCATCATCATCAGGAGCTGCAATTACATTGATAACAGTAGCAACGTAAACAACAATTAGCAACATCCTCACATACTAATGTAAGTTAAGTCAATTTAAATTCATTTTACATTATTGTTGCTACTGTTATCAATGTAATTGCAGCTCCTGATGATGATGGCAAAGTCCATTAAAAGCTAGAGAGAATAAAAAAAGTATAAAGAGTCCTCTTTGCTTAAATTTTTGTCGAAGTACCCAACAAAAGGCGGAAGCTTTAATTTTTCACTTAACTGGTCTAGACGACAATGACCACATCTCAAGTTATATATATATATATATATATATATAAAGTCTGGTTTCATTGATGCAAGTTGTTCAAGGGGGTATCTAAAACATCGCCGCATAAATGGGTACACCAACTCTTCAAATAAATTTTTTTGATATTTATGTGACCTACAGAATGAGACCACACGTAAAATGATCCCGCCAATAGGAAAAAAGTTATGGCCAAAAAGCGAGGCAAAATGCAGGTTTTAGCACTTGTTGCTTATGCGACGATAATTTCACGCAGCTCCTTGAAATTCTTTAAATCCGAAGGATTCCTACTTCTAAATAACCACAACAAAATTGGACTCGATTGGTCAAATTTTTAATTGTTTATCCCAAAACATCTGTCTTCCGGCCATCACTACTAGTTTTTGAGCAATATACAGGGTTAGTTCAAAGGACATTTTATAGTAAAATACACGAGTTTACCTTACCGACTTGAACCACAAGCCATTCCGAAAGATAATTGTTATTTTTATGCGAAAAACGAAGGGTTACGTTTTTTCTAAACAAATTCAAACTTTTCGTATTTGTAAATAATTGAACAGATTCGCTATGATATTCGAAAAACGTACGTTATACTCTTGTGTATACATATTTAGTGCTGAAATTTTTATACGGTCACAAATGAGTCTTAGAGTTTATAACAAAAATATTTCATACTGAAATGCGCTGAACTGTTTATAAATTTAGCACACAAACTAAAGACACAATTATGTTTCAAACTATCCTAGCCTAGTTAGTATGTAGCTTGTGCTAAATGGGTGCATTATTGATGACTGCATGGCTTTGTCAAATACGTAGGTCACATAATCCATTTTCTTTACAAAGTA